TCATTTGAAGACTAGAAACTTACTATAAAAGGATGTCATATTAAATAATGCTTGTATTACAAAAGTCTACTCACTTAATGCCCATTAAATTCACCAACTTGGATGGATACATTCTAACAACTTTACTAACCTGAATTTAAAAAAAAGATGAAGATGATTTGTTTGAGGGCTTTAAGAAGTTAGCTAACGTCTGTTGAATTACGGAGGTTATTCGAAAGTATTTACGTCCGTCTATCAAGCAACAATCTACAAAGAAATTTTATGTGCTGTGGTGGTTCAGCGATACAACACTCGCCAACCATGCAAGTGGTCTGAGGTTCAAGCTCTTTCCGATGCACTCCTAAACTTCTCTTAACCGGCAGTAAGTTCATTAAAGAGTGAAGATGCGGAGTAAAGTTAGCAAAACACCCATCCAAATAAACACCACTGCTACTAAAACTTTGTAACTGGAGCTCCTTATTTTCCACTGGGAATGTTGAAGAATAAAATAACTATCAAAAATTATAATGAATCACGTAATTTGTCTAAAAGAAGTTAGAATGAATTTCTCACATTTTTTTTCATTTTATGACTTTAGGACTTCCATGTAAAGCAAATGGCAAATCGATTTAGCCTAGATTAATTGTAGGAAACTCCAAAATTCTAATCCTATACTTAAATGACTGGAAAGATTTGTAGTCATAGAGCACTATTTACAGAATGAAAAGTTATTCAAACAGAATAATTGGATATTCTTAATTTCCTTTTGACTGATTTACATAATGAAAACAAAACACGTAGTTCAGCGAAGAGTCTCTTTCCGGCGAATTCATTTCCTTAGCTGTACAGTCGCAAATATATATGTGTGTTATTTTGTATGTATGTGTACGTTAAGTTTGTCAAACGAAAATACAATTGGTATTCAAGTGTTGGTTTGTAGGGATTTGATTGATTTCAGGATTTCATCATCATCATTTCAAGGACCATTGGATCGGGTCTCAGTGGCTTAATGGTATACAAGCTCGCCTTGTAACCGGAAGGTCCTGGGTTCGAATCCCGGTGGGTGCGTACTGATGAAGAGTCCCAAACCAGACCGAAGAAACAGCTGTCCAGTACTCCCAGGTTTTCCAGTGGTTCTCTAACTAACGTCAGCTCGTGATGAATTCCTGAAATCAACCACTTCTACTGTCACGGTAACAACTTTGTTGATTTTGATGACAATTTTGTTTCTTTTTTAACAACTCATTGTGACAACTCATCACCTTTGTCACTACCCTAATTTCATTAACACCTAATTTTCTTGACTGATTTTGTATTACGTAATTCCAATTACCAGTCTTCACCTGTTTAGTTAAAATGACCATAACCAATTGTATTTTCGTTTGACAAACTTAACGTACACATTCATACAAAATAACACACATATATATTTGCGATTGTACAGCTAAGAAAATGAATTCGCCAGAAAGAGACTCTTCACTGAACTACATGTTTTGTTTTTAATAATGCCTGGATGGGGATTATCCATGAATTGATTTACATAAGATCAAAACTCTCAGTCTTTGCTGACATGTCGCCGCCTAGTATGGATGCTTGAGTGATGTATGGACCAAGTGGTATCATTCCAACCTGTACACATCAACGAAGTATGCGCATTAAAAGCCGACAATTCAAAAGAGACTGAAATTTCTGGTCTGATGTAAGTCAGTCAGCCAGAAATACAAAATAACTTCAACAAATAACAGCTGCCACCCCCTGCTCAAAGATTTATTCTCGTGGCCCACTGGATAACACTTTGGCTTTATGAAAAGATGGATTCTAAGCTAGAGTTTCAGTGAGATAACCATCACATTGGAATACAGGCGTATCCAGCTGAAAAATCTTATAAAGAACGGAATGCATATCCAGGATACTGCCTCTAGTTCGTATCAACCAAACAAGCTGAAAACTTTTTTTCCCTGCTCTTTAGATTCTTGTAAAACGCTTCATTTTAATATGTTAATGCTTTTAATTACTAATACTGGATTGTTATTTGTCTTATGCAGAGGTTTATATTTTGTATAAAATACAATCATTTATGGTGATCAGCATCATTCATCTAACAAGCAGATATTTCATACCGTTTAGGCTTAACTTGGATGAACTTCTACAAATTCCAATGTTTTTTTATTGCCGTTATGAATATTCACCTTGATGTTACTGGCTTTTAGTCACCTCTGAAATATAAAAAAAGGTCTTATTTTGTTATTTTCTTCTGATGTAAATACCTCAAAAATTGAAATTTACATTTATTTTATGGCTGTGAATTCGACAACACACTTCAAATTAATTATGTACCTATAGTGAGATCCACATTACCTTCATACTGTTTTTCTCTCATAACTCAGTAACATTTAGTTGTGTAATTCCCATTATGCCTTTCAATGGTCACTGTATAACATCATCCGTGAGTTTTTAACTGTGCAAAATGAGAATATTAAAAAAAAATAAATGGTTAGTTTTCAATTTAATTGAATTCTAGATTTTCTTGTCGATTGATTGGAACGAAGTGCTCGGTCTCAGGTTGAAATGTCGGCTTCTTGTGTAGATGCTCCGACGATGTCCGGGCATTCAGTTAGTATTTAACTGGTGGATGGTGACTAGCAGTGGAATCCAGGATGCTCATTTCGTCCTATTCGGGACTCGTGAGCTGGATGTACCTGCATTTTCCAGTGAAAAAGGTGATGTTCCCACTGAGGCTCAAACCCAGTGACCATAGTTTCACTGGGTTTGAGCCTCAGTGGGAACATCACCTTTTTCACTGGAAAATGCAGGTACATCCAGCTCACGAGTCCCGAATAGGACGAAACGAGCATCCTGGATTCCACTGATAGTCACCATCCAAAAATTAAGTTTGTTTTCAAAGTTGAACAGAAATAGAGAATTAAGATTGTTATTTTCAAATAACGCAACTCAAGGTAAGATATCACCAAAGTTTTCTGTCAAAAGCGAAAATATTCTGGTCAAAATATGTAACCAGCTTGATGCCACAAAAGGCAGCTAAATGAGGAAGCATCAGTCCATGATAGTATGATCGATTGTTATGGTTAGCTGGGGACGACTCGCGTCAAAGAGGTATGTTTACTTGCTAGAGAGCAAAATAGTCTAAACACTGAAAGGCTTATACTTTCGTTCCGTGTCAAGTTTGTTAGCAGTGTGCTCTAATTTATTCATCAGGTCAGAAACTTCAGTCAATCTAAAGCCACCTCGATATGACCGGTAAGCAATTCTGTTAGCCGTGAGGCGTTTTAAACTATTCATATTAACTAGCAGTGTATGCCATCATTGAATTTCGCTAGCTTCTTTGACAGCCACTGGTAGCATCTGGTAGATCACGCTTTATGCAGTTAGTACTTTCAGTTTCGGGAGGAAACTGTGGAGATTTTTCACCTCGGACTATGTATATTCCTAAACGACGAATGCGATTCCATATATTTTGAATTATACCAAGTAGCTTTGAGTGTGGGTTGATTCACCTTCCTGACATGAGTCAAACTGCAAGTACCACTGATGAACTAGGCTCCCAACGAATTCCTAGTATTCCGTTTATGAAATTTAAGATTATTTTAATTGACCTGCGTGATTTCCACATGAATTTCCAAAGACTGTTTCAGCACTTTTTCAAATATATGATAGAAACAATTTTATATAGATTGAGAAATGAATTTAAATCTAAAAAAATTAAATTAAAAATTTTTAAATCTTTAGGTTCCCGAAGTAGAATAGTGTTTGAATCCCTTGATAAATTTCGATAGGGAAAGGAAGACAAAATTAGCAGCATAAAATGATATCATTCTATTTCACAGGTTCTCACCAGCTTCAGACTACCTGAAATAACAATGATTATGTAGATGATAGTAACATATTTTAATGATGAAGTGGAGGTACAGAAGAATTACTTTAAAACTGACGCATCCAAAATGAAAGCAGTGCAATTTTTAGTTCAAGTTTTCATCATCAACTTATACGCTTTTAAAGTTGAAAGGAGGACAGAACAGTGTTAGCTTGTAGGTTCATATAGCAACTCAAAAACACAGAAGTGGTTATAATATTTAAGATTGAGATTTGCTTAGTGAGTTGAGATCACTGAGTCAGATGACTAATTAATGCAATTAAAATCAAAATTCAGTTACCAAGGTAGTGAGATATTAATCACACTCTCTTTCTGTATGCGTAAGTCTGGTTGATTTGAATCGTTCGATTGCGATCGCTTCGGCAAATCGTAGTAAATTTGCTGTCCTTTGTCTATTTAATATTTTGAAGGACTTAGAAATCTCTATGAGATGTCCGGTATCAACAATACGTCTGGGAACTGCACTCTGAGAATATTTGCTTTGTTTCAGGCACAGGTTTCTGGGAATATGTTCACAAAATCGGATAGAAGCCGTTCTTTCTGTCCTTCTAATGTAATTGCTCTAGCGAGTGCATACAAATTCATAAACGCAGTTGGAGGTGACATCAGCAGGTTATTCATCCAGTTTTGAGTGGCTTATAGAAGAAGTGGTGCTGTATAATGTTATGAGTTTTGCTGCCGTGAAGCTTCTATTTATTTCACCTTCAAGTCATTTTTCAATCTTTTGTGACACTGCATCTCCTTTGAATCACAGTCAAATAAACACTTTCTCCTGTTTTACAGTTGGGTGTTTTTTTCTTATCTTGTTCTCTGCCATACTTTTGTATAAATCCCTTTGGGTATCCATTTTCTCTCCGAAACCTAATTCTTTTTTGACCTTGTTCGAAGAACATAGCTTTCTGGCACTGTCCTCACTAATCCACGTTTATAGCTTATTGGACAAAAGCTGTTATAGTGAAGATATTGCCCAGTTCAGGTTTCTTTTCTATAGATAGACTTTTCCATCGTACTTTCTTTTATTCTTCGTCTTCTTTTCTTTATCGAAAATAGTACAATGTATTTCTAGGTTCTCTTTGACACCTTTTCACAAAATTAACTAATACTACAATTTCTTTTTATATTTTGATAGATTTCATGGAATCTTCCACAGTGTCTTCATGTAATATCTAAAACGGATTCACCTACAAATCATAGTGAATTTGTTGGTATGACTTTACGTGGATTCTGCTTTGAATGCGATGCAATAGACGAAAATGATAGATTGTTATCCGATGGAGTTCATAACTTATCAAATTATTATGTGTTAGCTGCTTCAAATAACCACACAAATTTAACATATACTATTTACTTGATTAATCAGAAAGTAGAAAATCAGTTAACTCTTAAAATTTATTCAAATTCAAAAAATATATCATTACGTCATGCATTATTAACTTATGAGAACCATTCTTGGAGAAAGTGTTATAAACAAGCACCAACAATCTTATTACTCACATTTCATATCAGAATTTGTCTTCTCAATTATTATGAACGGATGATATTCAAAAGAATAGTTGGAATGTTTACTAATCTTAAAAGTAATTTGTCAATTTTACACACAAATATTCCGTATAATTATGATACTGTTGAAATGAATATGCAAAGTGAGAATTATTTCACTTTTGAATCACCTTCAGAATATGAAAAGTAAGTATGGGATTTTCGAGAATTGATTAACTGCCAATAATGTAGAAATACTTTCATTTTCAAGTTTAGACGTTTAGAACATTTTCGCTTATAATTTTATGATTTCTTTGACATTATATTTTTTCTTAAAATTTTTTTTACGTTTTTGGCTATCAGAATATTTGGTGAACACTTAACCAACAACAAAAAAAATACAGCTACTCCACTAAGTCGGTGGTTCATGCACATGTTCCGGAGTTCAGTACACTTTTGAACTTCACTAAGCCGGTTGTAAACTTAGTAAGCGCAGAGAAGGTTGGGCAGAGACTAACAGTCGTATTCTTTAAAAAAGGAACACTATTGCTACTGCAGCTTCAAGACTCGAGCTTGAAGCCTTATGTTCCATTCGGAAAGCAAGGGAATAAGAAACTAATTACATGCCCAGACATCATCGAAGCATCTGCACTAGAAGCCGACATGTCAACCTGAGACCGAGCACTTTGATCCAATCAATCGACGGGCAAATCTAAAATTCAATTAAATAAGGAATAAAAAGCTATGTGATATTACTTGCTTTAATAATATAAGTATTATTCGGATCTTCAGTACAAACGTCAAATCAGTCAGTTTTTCTATACGGATCAGAAACTTGGCGGGCGGGTCACAAAGGATATTTCCAACAACCTTTCGCAGACCTTCATCAACCAACAACTGTCTTCGCTGGCTCTATACTGAAGACCAGATGGCCGGCCGGAAAGAATCACCAAGGAGAAACTATGGGAACGAACAAACAAAACAATAACCAATCGCCGCCCAACAAATATGCAGGAGAAAGTGGAGATGGATTAAACACTCGCTGAGTGAGACTGCCGCTGGGTGACATCGCGCGCGCGTCAGGTCATTGGTCAAGTAGAACCAGGCCGAAAGGGGCGAGTGGGGCGAGTGGGACGTCAGTTCAAGGGTGACATGGAGGAGATCGTGTGAAGAGGGGTTAAAAGAGTATGGACTAACATGGAAGCAGGTGATAAGTACAGGAGAAGACAGAAGTGGCAAGTGGAGAGGTGCAGTTGAAGCCCTATGTTCCACTAGGAACCCAAGGGAACAATAATAATAATTATTATTGTGAGTCAGTACTTCAGGAGTAGAACGCTCGCTAACCACAAACGAGGATCGGGGTTCGATCATCAGTGGACGCACTGCTAAATCTCACTAGGCTGGTAGTAAGTCTGGTAAAGAAGGAAGGTTGGGTTTGAGGCTAGCAACCCCATCTTGTTAAAAATAAACGCCATCGTCACTGAAAGTTCAAAGTTCCAGCTTGAAGTTTAATGTTCCAATAGGAATGTAGAGGATTAAAACTAAAAAATAAAATTACTGTCCGAATACTGAATTTCGGTTTAAGGCCCCTACAGAACTTCAAACTTAAATGGTTCTAATTCCTAGGTGCATAGTGTAAAAGTGAACTGACTACTTTCTTTTCTGAAATACATTTTAACGTCGGATAAAAAGTAAATGCAATGAAACGTTATATGTATCTAGTTAGGTAATAGAAACCGTCTAGTACTTTTCGCATACAAAAATCATTTTTGATAGTAATTTATGAATATCACATTACCTGAGTACTTTGAGTTTTCCTACACTTCACTGAAGTACTTTGCAAACGCAATGTCTACTAGTGTATATATATACATATATAACTACTCAGAGGCCTCAATCAGTAATATTTAACATAACTAGTATTTATAATTAAACATACAGGGTCATGTATAACTTTCAATGGAGCTTTCCATCAATTACTATTGAATCGTTTTGCAGAACAGTTAGATATACATTCATTTGACCTAAAGTGTATTCATTATATGCAGTCTCATTCCTTCTTACTATCTTCCCGTAAACTGAATTCATTAATTTTCTTATTTGAGAATTGAAATCCTTAAAAAAGAAGCCTAAGTGATGGTGTGGTGAGAGCAGGCCGTGAGAAAATATGAGCAAGGCTGATTCAACAACGAATCACAGCAAAGTTAACGTGGCAAAATATGATTCGCAGATAGAGAACTCTATTTGTCGAGGAATCCCGAAACAAACAATCAGAAGCCTGTATTTGTCTGCCTAACTTCTGATAAACAACCAATCAGATGACTACGCTTGTCTACTTGCATAAGCTATAATAATGTATGTGAAATATGTATAAATACGTGTTGATTTTCATAATAAAACGATCTGTTGCCTGGCCCTTGTCTTCTGTTGTTACAGTGGTAGCTTATAATCCTAAATGTGACATAAATATGGACTTTCTATAGTTAGTTTTTAAGGATTAGTTTTATTTTTACGATTTGATCATGGATTGATATCAATTAGAGAACCATTGAAAATAGGCAAGGAGTACTGCCAGACAGCTGTTTCATCCTAATTTTGGAATCATAGCCAGTACGCATCCACCGCCTTGTTTGGAACCTTCAGGTTACAAAGCAAACTCGTAGCAGTTAGTAATCATGGTTTGGCCACTGAATCCGGTCCCAGTAGCTAAATGGTATACGAGATTGCTTGCCTTGTAACCGGAAGGTCGTGGGTTCAAACCTCCTGTGGTGGGTGCGTACTGCCGATGATTCTTAAACAAGAATGAAAAAGTTGTCTGGAAGTGCTCCAGTGGTGGTTTTCAATGGTTCTCAAACTGATATCAATCCATGATCAACTCGTAAAAATAAATATAAATCCCCAAAATATCTTCGTTATATTGTTTATAGTTCGCTAATGAATTTTGATATATATAATTTTTACATGCATAGTAGGTTGACCCCTTGAGATTCCTTAAAAATTAATCTTTCTGTACTATCTATCACTGATCAACTGTTGGGATAACCACTGTGGTAAACTTAATACATAGATAAATGCATTAAAATATAAAATTGGTTTTATTGTTCTATTTTTTAAGATACTGTTTTATTGATCTTTTTGTTTTGTGTTTCTTTTTTGCTGACGAATTATTCTCACACAGTCATAAAATTGTTGTTTTTCCCTTCGAGTCATTTTGTTGATTATATTATAGATCAACAGATAAAGTCATCAAAACAGATGAGTTAGGAGAATGGAGAATTGGCATTAGCAAAATAATAATAATAATAATAAACAAATAAAAAAAACAACTCACGATTAGAATGCCTACGAAGTCCAGAAAACACTATCTACTCATTTAGTTTTGAGTTTCTAAACCCTTGTTCCACATGATTTTTTTTAAAACCCACGTTTGCCCCAACTGTAGTAGTATTCAATAGAACTGTGTAGCACTAATTTCCTTTTTATTACGTCATGGTGAGAAATGTAAGATTGACGCTGATGATAAACCTCTAACTCATAATCCACAAAACTAAATCCTTTCAAAAGATTGACGTATGCCTGTAATAACTTATTATGTTGATGGTAGCTTTAATGATTCAGGTAACTCTAATCCCCATTTTAGTGCTACTATCCTTTTAACAATGATAGGTAGGTGAAATATATATAAATACTGGCGTATTCATTAAACTAACAGATAGAACGCAGAACTATTTCTGTTGTGAAAGACATTTGTGATGAATTCGTAACAAGTAAACATTGGAACATTGTTTTAGGACTGAGAGAATTCACTCTTCATTTTAATGATGATACTTAAAGTGTAATAAAAATTTGAAAAATACATTCCAGACTAATGATCTAATCGTGTTTTTGAACGTTTACCTGTTTATTGAGAAAGTTCAGTTGGCTTAGTGATATTATTTCAACGATGACTCATGTTTTATAACTCAGGAGCTTGAAGATTTATAAACGACGACCAACAAGTTGACAGTACAGGCGACTAAGACGGGATTCAGGTGAATATAAAGAATACAGAGGGAATTAAAACAACCGACCAGCAACAGAAAATGGCAATCAACATCGTTAGAAGAAACAGGTAGGAACTCTTTCCTTTCACATTGGCCACTTCTTCCAACCACAGGTGACACAAATGAGAAAATTAAAGTCTACCGGGAAGGCGAACCAGCCGTTTATGACTATAAAATCAGTAGGGAGATCTATACCACTCAGCATAATGAACAACATCTAGATTTGCAGCACTAATGTTAAGTTGGTGCTTCAGTGGAGTTTGGTGAGTTGGTGATAGAACCAACAAAAGCACTTCCAAGTGGTTTCAGAATTTCATCGAGAGCTGACTATGCTTTATACTGAAGATCAAATGGACGACTGGAGAGGATTAACCGTAAGGAAATATGGCAGTGAAGTCAACCAGCCATCAACTTATTGTCCAACAAATATGCAGATTGAAATACAGGTCGACTGAACACACATTGAAAATACCGTTGAGTGACAACACACTCCAGGCTTTCGACAGGAACTCGAATAGGAATCAGAGAGTTGGACGTCCGGAGGTGACACTGGGGGGGGTGGATAATATGGAGAGGAAATAAAAGCTTGTCGACAGTCATGAGACTAGCCTTAAATGACCATAGATAACGGACTACAATGGAGATTTACTTCTGAAGGTCCATATTCTAATCATGACGCAAAAAGAAACGAATAATATTACTGATAATAGTTCACACGAGCGGAACTACTTATATCACACTGGTATACAACAAGCAATCGTCTCCTGATTTGTGCTACAATATTTTAAAATGATTTAGATAAACGAGGACTAAACTAAGTGATCAATTCAGAACTTTATACGAAGTAATATGGCTGGTAATCTCTGCTAAATTGACTAAACCCAACAACAATACTGCTGTAGTAAAGTAACTCTATTAGCTGATAGCAACAACAACAACAACTACCATCAGAATAACAGCACTGAAAGCACAAAATAAGACGGACTAGTGGAAGGCAGCTTTTAAGTATCCCAACAATATTTAGCAGAGAAAAAGCGAAACACGATAGATATACTTCAGATGACGACTACGAATACTTAACTATTAGCCAGTAGGATTCCAGGTATCAGAAAAATTAGGAAATGAAATTTGAAAAATATGTAGCTAAAAAGGCGCTACAAGTTA